CTGAGTTGATCACAGTCAGGCGCCATGTCCATGTTGTACCTGTATTGTCTGATAAATGCTTCCCCCAAGTCATTGAAAGTATGGATATTGACGTTGTCCAAACTCATATACCACTTTAGCGCAACACTGGTCAAACTATCCTGAAAAAAGTGAATCAGCAGACGCTGATCATCAGTATGGATAGACATTCTCCTTACATATATCACAAGATGAGCACGAGGACAGGTGTTTCCCTTGTACTTCTCAAACTCTGGGACCTTAAACTTTACAGGTATCTTAACATTCGGGACCAAGCATAATTCAATCACATTCTGCCCGAATAACTCTTTTCCTTTGAGGGCCTTCATCTCTCTCTGCATCTTGTCAAACTTCTCTTGAAAATCATCCATTCTGTCATAGGGACCCAAGTCTTCACTTGGTGGAGGAAAAGAATGACACACATCATCGTTAACAAACAAAACCATATTCACCGAAGGAGGTGCAACAGGAGTAACATGCACCACAGGAGGTGCAGGAGTAACAATAGTCTGAACAACTGGAGTATCTTGAGGACCAAGATTGAAACCTTTAGGTGCAAATTTCTCTGGAATTCCCCAGGGATAACCTTGAGGCATGCGATTCTGAACAACAGTTTGGGTAGCAGACACAGAAATAGCGGGAGCTTCAACAGTAGCCCTTGTTGGTTGAGGTTGAACACTCGGTGGCTGATTCTGAGAAGCCACCAGAGATTCCATTCGAGCAGTAAGATTGGCCATGCCAGCCTTCAAAGTAGAAACTTCCTCGCGCAGCTCGCGATTCTCTTGTTCTAAGTTATCCATCTTCCTTCTGAAATTAGCCTGAGTGTTGTAGTGATGAGTCAACTTGCTGAACAAAGTAAAGAAGCTTGGTAAGACCTGGATATGCATAACAAATGAAAGAAATATGTGCAATATGATGCATGATATGCAATGCACATGATTTTATTTTGTTATTTAATATTTCAAGGGATTTAAAGTTTATAGACATATTGCAAATATCAAAGTAATAACGCATTTGAAATACTAAATTTTTTTATTATAATAACTTCAAAATAAGTTACAAGTCTCAACAATCCCAAGTACAAGATGAAAATAAAATCTAAAACCCTGAGAAGTAAAGCTGTCGGAGATCACTCTATACGCTGGCGTTTCCCCGTAAGCCTGGAAATCTGAGCCTTCAACCTTTTATTTTGTTCTGCATACCTGGTGGCAACCTCTTTCTAATCACCTGAATCAGGAAATGAGTAATCAATATCTGATTGAGGCTTAGGAGAAAATAAATCCCCTTGCCTCTCCATAGTCTCTACCACTCGACTCTCAAGGATCTCAATCAAGTCATCTTTCTCCTTCAAGTCTACTCTAAAGGAAATCTCTAAAGTTTGGCATTTATTCTTCCAAGCATCCTTTTCCTACTGCATCCTAACTAAAGCAAGTTATAGCTCTTCTAGATCATCCAATAAGGGAGGAGTGGTTTTCACAAACAAATCAGGCATATGTGTTTCCCGAGAATACGACATCTTCAACTGAATAGCTCTCGTTTGGACCCACTGAAGATAAGGTTCCAAAGAAACAACCCCTCTTGGTCCCAAATCCTTTCCACTCTTCTGATAAATGTGACGCCAGGCCTTTGCAATCTTCTCCCTAGCTTCCTTATGGTATTCTCCCTCCTTCAAAAAGAAACTACTCAAATGAATATTATTTGGTTTATCCCTCATTGGATAACCAAGTTGTCGCCGTGCAAGAACAGGGTTATATTTAATTCCTCCCTTTGTACCAAGAAGAGGTACATTGGGGAAACTACCACAACTGTCAACAATCTCTACATCCTGGTAAACTCGATGATACGAATCAATATCCGAGTGAGTAAGTTCCATGATCTTAGGAGCCCAACGGGGTTCCTTCCTGACATCCCAGAAAGCATCAGACTGAGGCATATGAGAGATAAACCATCGGTATAACAAGGGCGCGCAATAGATAATCATCCCTCCATGATAAGAACTCCGAAGATGAATAGAGTAAAAAGCATCACCCAATAATGTAGGAACTGGATTTCCAATTGTTATACCCCAATTTTTGCCCCTAAGATCCCTCACCATACTCTGTACATCTCACACATAGCATTGGTCTCATGGTTATAAGATCGAAGAGCTTTGGCATTAGGGTTTCTCTCTCTGAATTGAGGTTGTTGTCTTACTCAAAATTGATTCAACTGGTGCTCTCGTTATTCTTGGTATGATATTAGGGTTTTGGATCTCAAGCAATATAGACGTCTTCACTATCAGGATTCCTCGAGATATAAGGTTGTCTTCATCATAATTTCTTCGAGAAGAGTGCTTTAGAGTTTACCGTGTGTTCAAAATTTCATCATGTCTTCATTGAGAATGTTCTAAAGTTGGGGTTTTGTTCCTCTCACTATCTTAAGCCTTCTTCATTAAGGTACACTCAGAGCAAGATCATTTAGGGTTTCTCCCATCTTATTCGAAGCTTGGTATTAGATCCTCAACGGAAGTTCATTGTGCTAGGTTTTCTCCTTAAGGCTATAAGCGTCACCATCTGTTCTTTATTGCAAGTTCATCAATCATGTAGATCCTCCCTTTTGTTACTTTCTCTATGATTCATTTCTTTTCAAGAAGTCTAGAATATTGAACCATGTTTCTCTTCTTATGGTGAGACTTGTCGAATGATTAAGTGTGGCTTCAGATTTTCAACATGATATTAGGAGTTTAAGGACTTCTTTAGGATCAAGGTCTTGTTATCTTTTTGACTTTTTGATTGTTGGAAAATTGCTTGAATTCAAGGCATTCATTATTTCTCATATGGGGTTATTTGTTCATTCACCTTCAAGTTCAAATACAAGTGCGATTTCAAGGTCAAAAGTGCAAAGTTGGAAGGTTCATGTATTTGGATTAACTAGAGCCTAAGGCATACCATTTTGCTTCGTTCCAAATTTGAGACTCCAAACCATGATTTCAAGTCGCATCCAAAGTTTTTAAGGATTATCGGCCACTGTTTCAAGTTTAATTTGCAAGACAGTATTCAATTAAGAGGCTTTGATATTCATGTCAAGTTCAACTTTCAAATGTCATTCAAGTTACAAGATAAATTCAAGGAGGCAAATTATAAGGATCTAGATGAACCGTGTTTCATTCAAATATGATTCAAACAAATGTAAGATTTAATTGCATATGGTAAATTTGAGTTCAATAAAAATATCCATAATTCCATTAAAACTCAAAACCTAGTATGTTACACATTTCAAAACAACTCCAAAAGCTTGTAAACGTGTCCAAATCTTGTACAAACATGCTGAACCAATTTACTTAAGTATATGAGCAGCAATGAAGATTGCTAGCAGGTCAAATACTACACAAAAGTGGATTACATATGATGAATTCAGAAGTAGGTTTTGTGTGGCTAGATCGGATGAGTGTTATGGCAAGGAAAAAGCTGAACTTGAGGAATCCAATTCCAATACTACACGAGGGGAAGAGGCTAATCAGAAAATAAGCAAAGACACCGGTGAACAATGCGAAACGATGACAGAGGATAATCCAAGTAGCTCTATTGTTAATGGAAAACTTGCAGTCATGGAAGAAGAAGAAGAAGTTATTCTCTTCAGGCCTCTTATAAGGTATAATTAAGCACCGCTGTCTCCATCTGTTTCAACTAATGAGCATATATCAAAAAAAATAAATTGATGGCCAAAACTTACCATTTGATGATTGCGTACGCCGTGCTACATCTCTTCTTATGGCACAAAATCCAGTTCAAACTCAAAGCGGTCAGTGGGAATACCATGGAAGCAATTGGAAATTCAGAAGTGACCCGTCTTTCAAACAACAAGGACCTTCATCAAGGGATTAACATCCACACACTTACTTAAAAGCCTCAATCTCCGCTGGCCCTCCATCGCTCAATGCTCGGGCCTTTGACGAAGGAAGTTTGAGCAACAATAGAAGAAATGGTGCAAAGGATCTCATGGAGCATAGATAGGAGCCTATTGAAAAAATAACTTCTTCATCTTTGGAAGGTTTGTCCATCAATAAAAATGTAAACTCAGTCATAAACTCTGTGACTGAATCTTCAAACTTCAATACCTCTCCGTAATCTTCATCAATTGGCGATAACAGAGTCTGCGACAACATTTGTTAACACAACAAAGTTTCAGTAATAGCAGAATCATACAGCTTGTATAACTAACTGCAAACAGCATAACAAAAAAAGAAAGCAGGAGGAAGCTTGAAAGAAAAAACCACAAACTCAAAACAGAATTAAGAGAATCCTACCATCAGTTTTCCTGGAACTAATCTTTCAATCAAGGGATGAGATTGAATCCAATCTCTAACCAAATTTCAACAAACTATAACATAACTAATAACATAACTGAAAAAAGAGGGTGGGGAGATTTCTAGCAGAAGGCTAACAGATTCAGAACAAAAGGGGAGAGGGGGATTCACAACAGATAATAGAGATTGAAGACTCACCTTTTCCACTGGTCATCATCTTCAACATTTCATACTCTCCATCTTCAAAAAACCTTCATTCTCCCTTCCACGCTTGAACCTTCAATACTAGAACCACAAATTACCCTTGCTTCCTCCGTAACTTTTTCTCACCTTCATCGTTCATTCTATAGAAGAACCACTATCGAAAAATATAATCTGATTGCTCTTGAATCTACACCCTTTTCCCTTCAACAGACCTTTATCTCTCAAGAACTCCTCTAGATTCATCTTCATCTCCTTCGAATATCATCCTACGAAAACCTCTTCTTCTCTGCAACTCTAAAACAGCCTCACGGCTTCAATCGTCTTCTTCCTCAATCTGCATCATCTATGCTTCTGTGTGAAACAATCTCATGTAACAACAACAGTTCACAATAATGCGAGAATAAGAATAGGATTTGCAGAGTCGAAAGGGAAGAACAGATTGCAAAAGCAAAACGGCAGATACCTGATTCGATGTTGACGAAACACTAGACATTTATTTCGGTAGGTAATTCCTATTGCTCTTGATTTTGTCAATTTCGTGCATCTGTTGAAATCTCGAGTTTAAACTGAGAGGTGAGAAATTGAGAGCACAAGGCAGAGATTCGATGAGGGAGCGATGATGGTGAAACATTGAAATGAAAAAGCTGTGTAGCGCGATGTTGAGAAAGAATAGCAAAATTGAGAGCGCCACGGTAGTGTTTTCGTTGCTTAATGGAGGAGATTGAGTGGAAGAGATTGAAAAAACAGAGATGGCCGCTCTTGCCGATGATTTGAATCGGAAAAAAAGAGTAGAAATTTTGCAGCGGCGATAGGAGAAGAAGAATAGTCGAAGTCGAAGCGTCACCCTTTTTTTAACCCTAATCTTCTTCTCTTTTTTTTGTATTATTTTTGTTATTATTTCATGAAATATTTTTTTTTTGACAATGTTAATGATATGTGAATGATAAAAATCCAGAGTGTTGTTGGTAGATATGGCCGAGCTGTAAGACCAATGGGCCCATGCATTTCTTTTTGGCTGAATATCATGTTTACAAAAAAAAAACAAGGCTGGGTTGTTATTGTTTGTTTGAATCAGGCCTTGTATCCTTGAGCCCGCCTCTTTTTTTTGTAAGCCTAAGGTAGTAGCATTGCAAAAAGGCTTATTGGGTTACAAGCTGGTCCTTAACATCAGTTCACAACACCATAATCTCCGACCCAGTTTTAACACCCCCCTGACTCTTTCTAATCTCTTTAGTTTTAACTTTTTTTTAGTTTAATTTTCTTTTATAATAAAAATAGTAATAGAATGTAGAGTAAAACGAAAAAATAAATAGAATTTAGATTTTTTTATGATAAAAATTACAAAAATTAATGATTTTTTAGGCTTGTTAATTTTTTTTAGGAGATTAATTCCTAAATTTTTTTACTTGAAATTTGTGATTCACCTTTGCTTGTTGAGCTGAGTCTTATGCAGGTTCATTATTTTATATGCGGATGTGTTTTGGATTCTGATTGTGATTTATTTTTCACATCGATGAAGCTTCGACACCTATTCCAAATATTCGATCTCTGACTGTTTGTTTGTTGATTCCAGCTCACGCGAAGTATCTCGTATTTATTTACTTTGGTTGCGCTTTTTGCAGACATCATTGTTCGTTTGGTATTATACTATTTCCAATTTATTTTTCTGCGCATTTATCGCTTTCTAGATATCATGAGAAGTAGGAAATAAAGAGCGTGCGCTCGAAGTCGCTGTTTAAAGACCTATAGTAGGCATTCCGCACTTCATTTCTTATATGTGTTGTGTTGTGTTTGTTTCCTTTCTTGTTGATCGATGAGTCACTCAATTTAAAAATTGAGATCACGACTTCACTCTCAGTGCATGCTCCCTATAGGATTTTATCGCTTTCCTTTATTTCTTGTTGATCGATGAGTCACTCAATTTAGAAATTGAGATCACGACTTTGCTCTCAGTGCATGTTCCCTATAGGATAGTATGTTAGACTTTCTTTGACATGCTAACTTAGATAGGTTCCATCACTGTATGATAAGATTAGATTAGAGATAGGTTAGTCTCCCTTAGATGTTTTCTTCCCATTTTTGCATAATCGCATTTAAAACTAAAACTGCTTTTTATTGGAAAATGAATAAAAAATGCTAAGCATACAAAAATTCTTTTCATGGTAAAAAATACCAACCAATCCATTTCTTTTCTCCATTTGGCTTTTCTCTTCTAAGAGCATGTTAGCTCCTTTCCACTATAGGTCATAAGTCTCCAAAGGTCGAGCAGCGGTGGAATGATCGAATGCAACATTGTTCATTTAAAAAATACAAGCAAACAAAATATATGAGCCAAACTACGGTGCTCTGATTCCTTAAAGGGGATACATAGGCATCTGGTCATGGGGCTCAGCCGAGCGAAAATTGTAAATACTTGCTTCTTTTCCCCGTGTTTTATTTGCATGCATTCCCTCTTAGTTTATAACCCTTAAGCATTAGATTGAACACACCCTTTGATTAGAATAACGAGAGTGGATCCCGTAGAGTACTATGGACGTGTGGGGTGCTAATACCTTCCCCTTGTGTAATCGAATCCCTTACCCAATCTCTCGGTCGCAAGACCTTGATTTCCCCCTTTAGGTTTTTCTTTGATGATTTTCCTTTCCCTTTTATATGGGATAAATAAATACTCGGTGGCGACTTCATTGATTTTACCGCTACAGAAAAATGGTGACTTCACTGGGGATGATGTCGACCAATTGCTGGTCCATCCCGTGAGTCACTCCTAGCTCCCTTTTTTCTTTTCTTAGGGTGTTTATCATTATGCTTTTATGGATTATTCACTTGTATATGTTTGAGCATATGTTTGCATTGCATCTTTATTGTTATTTTTTATATTGTTGCTGTGCTGTTTTCTCTATTTCTTGATGGGTGGGATGTTACTATGAGGTAAAAGGCCCAATACACAGGCCAAGTGGAAGCCACGGGAACACTAGGAATAGAGTGGAACATGAACGGCTAGTTAACTTAGGTTTCACTATGCCTCCATGTCGTCCACGCTTAGATGAGGTACAAATGAGGGGCTATCATTTTCAAGTAGGTGATATGGTGATAGTTTTTCAAGAGTACCCTCGATTCTGAGTTACCATTGACCTTACCATGACCTAGTCCTTACTCGTGAGTGGGGAGGGAATAATCTTTACAGGTACAGATGGTGACTATAGATGTTCCGTTGGTGACTCTGATTATACTGATGACTTTGATCCTTGGTATTATGAATTGGTTTGGACCTTTGATCTTATTACATATGACTGTGGTTTTGTTATCAATTTAGCAGCTATCCAGCATTGCAGAAGCTTTGATCCCACATATTTGCATACATATCATGTTAATGTAATCATCAGCTTACATGTTCTCCGTTTCCAAACATCATTTCTTTGACTCCAGTTGTTAAGTCAAAAAAATATGAATAAGCACTGAAAAAATATATAATAAATACATAATATATATATATATATATATATATATATATATATATATATATATATATATATATATATATATAAATAATATAGTGGCTTAGTAACAGGAATCAAAGCATAGGAACTTTTGGAAATAAAAACATGGCATTTGTATTGCATGTCATGCATCATGTTACATTTGACTATGCATTTCATGAGTTCCACAGAAGTCTTACCCAAAGTCCTTTGGTTTTCAGAATCAAGTTGTCTCACCGGTACAACACTCAAGCCAAATCTAAGAAGAAGATGGAAAATCTCGAACAGGAGAATCGCGAACTGCGCGAAGAGGTTACCGCTTTAAGAACCAGAATGGCGAACTTAACTGATTTAGTAGAGTCGTTGGTGGCTGCTCAGAATCAGCCACTACCTCCTCCACCTCCTCATGCTACGCAACCACAACAAGCAACAGTTATCTCTGAAATTACGATAGTTCCCATCTCAGTTGCTCCAAATACTACCACTGCTCAACATTGCATGCCTCCCGGTTATCCATGGGGAATGCCTGAAGGTTATACACCAAAAGGATATAACCCTACTCCTCACATTGCTCAATCTTTTCAACAAGTTATGACTTTTGCCCCTCCCGTGGTACACGTTACTCCTACTGTTAACAATGAGATTCGTCATGTTGTGCCTCCAGTAATGAATGTTGTCCCTGTTATTGATGACGTGGTTCACCATCCTACTCCCCCGCCAAGTGAAGGAATTGGATTCTATGACAGAATGGATGACTTCCAAGATCATTTTAATGAGATGCGAAAAGAAATGAAGGCCCTCCGGGGAAAAGAACTGTTCGGACATAATGTAAGCGATCTATGCCTAGTTCCAAATGTAAAAGTACCTGCGAAATTCAAAGTTCTGGAATTCGAGAAATACAAGGGCAATACTTTCTCCCGTGCTCATCTGGTAATGTATGTGAGGAGGATGTCCACTCATACTGATGATCAACGTTTACTAATCCATTTCTTTCAAGATAGCCTGACTGATGATGCACTGAAATGGTACATGAGCTTGGATAGTGACAATATTCATACCTTCAACGACCTAGGAGAGGCGTTCATTAAGCAGTACAAGTACAATGTGGACATGGAACCTGACCACGATCAACTCAGGGCTATGGTCCAGAAAGATAAGGAGTCATTTAAGGAATACACACAAAGATGGCGTGAAGTGGCCGCCCAGGTAATCCCCCCAATGGAAGAGAAGGAGATGACGAAGATCTTTCTAAAGACTCTGGGTCCCTTCTACTATGAAAGGATGGTGGCAAGTGCGCCAAGTGACTTCACTGAAATGGTGGGTATGGGTGTTCACTTAGAAGAAGCAGTGAGGGAAGGCTGTTTGACAAGAGATGAAAGTTCTAGTGGTATATGGATTTGCTAGAAAGAAAGAAGGAGATGCAAATGTTGTTGTTCAAGAGAGAAGAGCTAAACCTCCTAGAAGGCATCATGCGCATCAGCAACAGGTTGCTTCGGTGACTCTAGTTGTTAATGTAGCTCCGACTGCTATTGCGTATCAAAGAACACCTCAACAAAGCAATCAAGGGCAGGGTCAGAAGAGAGAATCTTTTGATCCCATCCCTATGAGCTATACAAATCTGTTTCCAGCATTGATTAAGAAAAATTTAGTGTAAACCAGGAATCCTCCTGCTATACCATCTCCTTTTCCATGGTACTACAAGGCAGACCAGACATGTGCCTTTCATCAGGGAGCTCCTGGGCATAATATCGAGAATTACTATCCTTTGAAGTCCGAGGTTCAGAAAATGGTTAGATCTGGCCTTTTGTCCTTTAAAGACGCTGGTCCCAACGTGAAAGACAACCCGTTGCCTAAACATGGAGGTGGAGGAACGGTGAATATGATTTCTGGTAATCTAGGAGAGTCCAGGATTTATGATGTGAATTTGATAAAAGGAAATTTGGTGAAGATGCATGCTGACCTTTGCAGGCTCAGCTATTGTATGCATGACCATAATATGTGTAATATCTGCAGCCAAAATAGCCGTGGATGTGATAAGGTGAAAGTTGACCTTTAAAAGTGATTGATGAAGGCCTTGTTTGTATTATCAAGACCAAGGCTGAACGTGAAGAAGGAGTGAACATGGTGCACAGATGTGCCAGTGAGTTCCAAATTTATGACGTGAACGATATGGAGGACAACCTGGTACAGTTACATGCCAACTTTTGCCATATGCCAGGACAAGAGTTACATCAATACAGTGGTTGTCAGATCTATTGTAGAGACCCCCGTGGTTGTTCCATCGTGAAGAGAGGCATCCAATTACTTCTATACGAAGGAACTATTAGCATCACAAGAAATAGAGATGGTTACATTGGAGTCAATATGATTGAAGTCCATTTTGGTGAGATCGTGTCGGATGATGAATACATTTCTGCTGATGATTTCTTTTCTGATGATGAGTCTAAGCTTGTGGTTAAAGATGATACTTTCATTGGTGATTCCATAAAGTATGAATGTACAATAGAGGTAGGGGTGA